CACATAATGTAACCATGTGTGTCACATTGTGCAATAAGTGTAGTAAAGACTATATTTGTTTGGTACAGATGCAGTGGAGTAGAAGGTACCAGAAAATCAAAATACTAAAAGTGCAATTACCTCAAAATTGCACTGAAGTACAGTACTTGAGTAAATGTACTTACAGGTAGTAACATTCCACCGACTCTTTAAACATTACATCTCTAGCATTTGTGTAAAAATATATGTGCATTAAAATTTTTGTTGTTGGCATGCAAAGACATTGAGACACTATTAGAATTGAGATCAGCAGCCATGTCATGTATCAAAACAAACTACTGAACTAAAAATAATTACTAAAATTACTTTCCCATGGTACCATAAAATCACTTTGCGAACCTTTCTATCTACTGGCCTATTTGATTTCACCAGTACAACAACTCAGTTAATTAAAAGCAGCTTTTCTCTGCCTAATGAGTCATGTAATAAATCTGATATATGCAACAAGTTAACAGATAAAATACTGAAATATCCCTATGATTACCCAGATGAAATTTTAGAACCAGAAACAGTTTGCTTATGACACAGACTGTATCCTAATTTAGTAACTTGGTGTTTGGTAATTTGGTCTTTGGGTGTGGATCAATTTACCGTTCTGATCTCAACCCTGAGTAAATGCCTGAATGCACCAATCAGAGGCAGCATTTTTGTGATGTTATCACGTAGACTTCTCAAAAGACACACAATACCGAGTTCGCCAAGTTCGGACTTCTGTACTTTAAAGCTCGGACTTGGCAAGTTCGGCACGGGAGCACAAACTCCCAGGGACGGGAGCGCGCAGTCAGTCATTCAGCAATTGGAACAACATCCTAACCTCCTTTCCTTCACCACGATGGAAAACGTCATGAGGTCAAGGAAAGATGTGAAGGAGAATCCGTAAAGACTTAGGAAAAGAAGACGGCGGGTCTAAGAGAATCCGACTGCTCTTTATAAGCGACGTAATTATGCGACGGCGGGTTTTACTGACGTGACCTGCCATGATGAAACCACAATCTTCTGAAGACGGACTACAAAAAGCGCATCTATGACACTGCGCCCCGTGTTGTTGTAATGCAGGCCGTCTAAAGGTGGACAACACGGTGGAATATATAACTTAATAACCAAGAGAGCAAAAAGGCAGATAAGGTACCAGTCACTAAATAATGGACAGGGTTGTCACATTGAGAATGCTCACACTCACCCACAGAATGACAGTGTAACTGTGCTGAGAGAGAGAGAGAGAGAGAGAGAGAGAGAGAGGGAGAGGGAGCGACGGGGCGAGATGAGATGCTGAGAGAATATATGCTGTGCAGCGCTCTGTCATCAAATACGATTTTACCCATTTTAAATAGTAACAAAATCAATCGAAAATCAGCCTTGATAATGTGGCAGGCCGCCACAAATAAATCAATGTGTGGGAAACGCCTACTGTAGAGGTTATCCAGCTTGATCTTTGCCTTTATTAAGGCGAGGGTGTCAGCATCTGTGACTGAAGAAAAATAAATTTGCTGAAGGCTACACACTGCAACATTATCCTCACTTTGATCACATTACAAGACTGGTCTCAGTTATTGTTGACAGTTTAAGATATATGCATATTACAAAGTTATGGCATAAGAGAGAAAAGGCTTAATAGCCAATGGTAACTTACATGGTGATCAACATCCTTTATCCGTCATGGTTGTTTCAACAACCCGAAACATAAAACGTTGTTGAAACAGTATTAGATTACAAAAAAGCCTAAAGAAAACAAACCAAAAGAAATAAGGTAATTATGAGTCTTATTAAAGTATCATAATGTGTGTCTGTATTGCAAGGACTTTGCTAAATGTGGTTGATGGATTTTATCGTTTGAGTTTGAGAAAGTGCGCCGCTTTAAATGTTGCCGCTGCAAGGAATTGTGGGACGGCATTCTCTCCTTTCCTTTCGTAAAGGATGGTCCATGGTGTATCCTATGCTAAAGGAGATATGAAAGGAAGCATTGAGGCACCTTTCCTCAGCTTTTAGAGAATTCTAACAGCTCTTATCATGGCTGACACTGAAATACTTCCGGGTCACTTCACTCAGTTAGGAACCTTCCTAAGCAAAAAAGACTTTTCGAACGCAGCCATCATGTCGGCTGGACCCGTTAGCTGGCGGGACCTCACATCTCCGAAAACGTCGTAGCAATTTTTTAAATCAGCTCTGTCTTGATAAATCAACCACATATGTGGAGTTTAAACAACTATATTCTATAAACTCTTAAAACTACTAGATGTGACAGAAGAACAGCAGTATTATAAGTTACAGTTGTGAGTTTTTGGCGGTGAAATGCATTCTGGGATATCTGGCTATCCATACAAGTCATCTATGCTCGGTAAAACGTGCATAGCGAGAACACATCCGGGTATTTGACTGTACTTGGCTAGATGCGGACTTTTGAATTAGAACAGTACTTTGGCGGCCACTTGAGAAACAGCTGTATTTTTCGGTCTCTATTTTTAAACCTTAGACTGTATTAATGTTTAAAGTATTTAGATACAAAACAAGAAACCATTTTGATCAACCATATCAAATTCAAATGACAAAAAAACACATGTAAACCTATCATACATCCCAGAGCCCTTTAACTGCTACTAATGCTGCGTTCCTCGGAACTAGGAAATTTCAAACCTCCAACTAGAAACACTACCCTGGAACGCCACCTGAAGTCGGATTTAGTACTTGTGAACTCGGGGGGGGGGGGGGGGGAAGATATGTTCCCCCACTTCACGAGAAGCAGCTGAATTACGTCACAAAACAATGTCAGCACCCATGGATGCACACATTGTAAATGGTAAACCATAAACTAATAAGCAACAAAAAGTATATTTGCATGTATTTAAATTAAAATAATACATACGGCCATATAGTAAAACCTGTTCTGCATGTACATTGATGTAGAAATATGTTAGGCCTATTAGGAATCTGGCTACAGTAAAGAATCTCATAAAGTCATCTTCTCTGCATAAAAGTTAAAAAATGCCAAAACATTGGGAAGTATAACCTACAACATTGACTGACTTGAGGGTTACCAACTGATGTAGGGGTACACAGAACTAGTAAAGTAGGCTATAGGCTATTTATGTCTGTTGTTGCAGTTAAACTGCACTGCCCTACAAAGCCAAAGCGCAGCAACTACACGTTTGGTCAAAATTGAGTTAAGACTTGAAATGGGCTTAATGACATCTGTTCTGTCTTGTGACAATGTCTCCTACTTAAATTTTGCCCCGTTTCAGAGAAACAAGAGTGTCAAAATTGCAGTAACTACAAAATCCAAGCTAATACCGAGGCAAACCGCAGTGATGTTACTGCGCTCTGACTGGCTTTGTTTGACAAGTGAACTGTAATACTGTTTGCCCCGATCGTAACACTCCCTCACACAGAACCAACAAGCCAACCAGCTAATATTATCTTGCCATAGAGAAACACCATAGCACAATCCCGCAGTAAAATCATTGTTGAACTTGCATTAAAACGCAGCAAGGCAAACGACAGCTCTATAATCAGTTAAGATTAGCTAACTAAGTTGGCTAGCCAGCCACTTGCAAATCAGACAAACATTTTAGCCTACCTGCTCCCTTGAAGGCATTTACTCTGGCAGCGTGATTTATAATCGCGTTGATGTTTTTTATTTCCATCTCTTTCTTCACATTTCAAGCAGCTATTCCAATTGTTGTGACAGAGGTTAACGTTAAAGTTATAAAAAAAAAAGTTAAAGGCATTTTTCTCAGTTTCAGTGTTTGCGTAGTTACTGCACTTAGACTTTGTAGGGCAGTGCAGTCCTTTTAATTAACACCTAAAACACTGCTGAGGCTGCAACTGTGTGTACACTTTGTCACGGTCAGCCGTTTTCGTTCACTTTTGGTGTCATGCACCACCATGCACCTGGAACGCATTGAGGTCGGACGTTTCAACTGGGAAATATCCCAGTTCCGACCGGTCACGAACGCGGCATAAAAGTCTTGTCTGAGCAGACTTATCAACAATTACATGGAAGATACTACGATCACTTATACAATCGTATTGAGAGTCCAGACAGGTCTGCTTAAATAAAAAAGGGAGAACTAAAAATCATTGAATTCACAGCCATTAATGAGAGAAAAGACAGCTGCAAATTCTTTTAAGCCTACAGGTGACTTTCTGTGTTGCTCTGAGAATTTATTCAAGTTGCAGTTTCTTCTTCACAGTAAATGGATGAATGACATTTTTTTAATGTTATAAGTTTAATTAAAATAATTCACTCATTTTAAAATACACCACAACTCTAAAACCTTGTGGATAAACATCAACAGACTAACAGTAAAAAAGAAAAAGAAAAAAGACATTATACTCCAGTACAATGAGTTAATGTGTTTTTTGACCAGGAGGCATTCATATTTTGTAAATTAATAACAGTACAATTAACAATAACAACAATATTTCATGTGGACCACTTTTCGGCTAAATATTTATGTTTAACTTATCAGCAGCTATGTCATATTTATTGAATTGTAGATCCATGAGAACGTTTTTTTGTGGAGTGAAATTAAAACTACAGAAAAACAAAGCAAATGTATTCAGATCTTCTAAGGCATACAATTGGAGATGTTCATTAGAATTATAAATAAGACATGATGAACTAATAAAAAAACATTCAATTTAAAACAATAAAAAATCAATGTTATGTGATGAGTTCTATGACAGATGGGTCGCAGAGTGAAAGGTGGGACTCTACAGCATCCGATCACAGTGATCCTGAATATAGGGAGGATCCAAGAGGGTGGTCTGGCAACGTGGATGGAGAGGCAGACACAGTGTAGATTGAGGGGTGTGAGTCCTCGATTTCGTAGATGGAGGTGTAAGAATTGGATGATGAGTCTTGCAGGCTGTGTGTGGATGTATGCCTACTTGTAGGGGCACTGGACGAAAGGCTATAGTATTCATCACCATCACAGGGAGGCTGCAGGCACAAAGTGAGCTGGGACTGGCTGATGAGGGTCTGGCTTGCACTTTCATGGCTCCTAGGATCGTTGTGGAGGTGGTTAAAGGATTGTGGACTGTGTTGGGGGGCTGTGGGAGGCCTGGACACCATTTGGGTATGAGTCGTGGGAGTCTCTGTAGTGATGCACAGATGCGTGGGTGTGGAGGAGATGCATCTGGTGGTACCGGCCTCTGGTGAGTTCATACAAATCCTGATTTAGGTTTTCAATCTGGACAGAGAGAGCACACCGTTTAGTTGTAACATTAAAATACCTATCCTAACATGCATAGGCAATTTATAATCCTGTCTGTGACTCTAAGAAATGGCTTCTTATGCATTAGTGACATCCAGAGGGACACAGACTGAGGTAACTGACGCAAATAGGGAAGAAAACTGGGAACAAGAGAGTGAAGCAAGTTGGAAAGGGGGTCAGAGAAGGACTACGAACTAAGTAGAGCTAGGTTGTAATCAAACAGTTTTCTTTTCTTCTTCAGATTGTCAAATCAACACTCCTGACTTTCATCTGGATTGCAGACGTGCAATCCAGACCTGCTGATTAATTAATATTAACTTCAGACAGCACATACCAGCGTCCATCTGGAACCTCTGGCTGCACCTGCTTTCGCTCTTTTTATATTCAAATTAAGGACAGACTGAGATAGGCAGAAAGTGAGTCTACTTGATTTCCGTGTATGTTTGCCCCTGTAAATCTATAACCATGGCTGTTTATTGCATGAGAAGCCAGAATGTATCAATGAATAAAGATCATGAGTTTCTGTTTATCTTGATGGTCTGCACTGAAGATGTCAGAGAATCCGTTTGTAAAGACAAAAACAGGAAATCATATTTTAATGTTGAAATAGCATGAAGATTGAATTTTCTAATTACAAATTCATTTATGATTCCGGAATTTTATGTTCAGTCTCTCCACAATACTTTACAAACAGAAGTTGATTTGGATCTCAAAGATCTTCGGGCTCCATTTCATTTGGTCCAATCAGTTTTAATTTAGGTCAAGGGGCTATACCTTACCTTGTTGTTGAGTTGACTAATGATCTGTCCGACCTCCTCCGGCTCCAGCAGCAGAGTAACATTAGCCTGAGTGGACTCTGGACAAATGAGGAGGCGAAAACATTAAGTAGCTGACTTAGGGCAGGTTTAGGCCAGCTTTGTTTATTCCGGTTGAACCGAACCCTGGAGCATTTTCCCCCTTGGTGCAGTTTGTCTAGGACCGCTGTCATGTGAACTCTGGAGCAGTTCATTTTTGGTGTGAACACCAAACTAATCACAGGAAGCGTACTATTGTATGTGTTATTTAAAATAGTACTTATTTATTATTACTGTGCTATTAAATGTATTATTGTTATTTATAACATTTGATTTTTATGACAATATGTTTTATTACCAAGAAGGTTTTCACTGTTTGCCAATTTGCCTTGGTGTTACATACAAAAACATATTAAGAGGAATTAAAAGAAAGGCAAGTCAAGAACGTAAATATAGAATAGAAAAAGATACATTAAAAATGCCATAACAACAAATATGTATTATATTGTCTATATATCTCGCAACTCTGTGGAATCAGTGAGGCACAAACTAGAAAAAAGCCAAACAAAATGCAGGCAATCCTCCGAGAGGCGCTGTAGAATGGCCACAAAACTAAAAAACTTGTGATGGTTTGGCTTACCGTGGGTGCTGCCTCCTGTACTGGCCCTAGGCCCGGTGCGCTCCATGTTGAAATGGAACATGTGTCCATGGTCTTCAGTTCTCTCCACAACCCTGGTGAAGGGGTGAAGATGAGGAAAGCTGGAGTTAATGTAACAGTAGAGCTTTTTCAGTGAACACCGGAGCCAGCAGATTACCCAGGAATGAGAGCTGCAGAGTCCCATGTTGGTTTGAACATGAGGAGCCCAGCCTGGAGGGGCGACACCTGAGCTCTCTGAACCAGCACTTTCCCATATCTAGGACTTACTGGATGACTTAGGTATAATTACATTATGAATACAGATGGTTTGGGCAGGAGGATAGGGTGCTCTGGTAATGAAATGCAGTAAAAATTTGCGGAGATATGTAATCCAACATACAAGTAGAAGGTGCAGGTTTCTGAAGCAGGACTTTAGGTGTACAGTTCTAAAACACGTTCTACAGCTGTCATAACTAGGGTAAATAAAATATCTTCTTGTTCTTCTTAAATATATAGACATGATGTGGTCTATAAACGTTAGATACCAGTGTCAGGTTGATACTGGGTATCTAAGAAAGACATGTAGTAAAGGGGGACTGTTTGACAACAGGGAAATTACACCATAACAAACACAGAAAAAGATGCATCATTGTATATTGGTGTGGTTATTAAGCAAACCATGGTCAAATTAATTTAAACTGGACACAAATTCCCAATGCTTTAAAATTTCAGTGTCTGTGGGGGAAAGCACTGAAAAGAAGGAAAAACACTAACATGTGGATACTCATTACACTTTGACACAGCTTTCACAATACCTGGGACCAAGATCTGGGGGTCCAAAGCAGGTGACAGTTGGGATAAGCCGCTGTGAAGGCTTTTGCTCAGCCGCTGACTCTCCCTGGGCGGTGCTGTTCTCTTTTTTTGACGGTGACTGAGGGGTTGAGCTCTGCCTGTGAAGGCCAACAAGGCTGCTGCAGCTGGTCAGCAGGTGATTGCAATGGGAGCGTGTTGCTGGAGGGAGGTGGACGGAGTTGTCAGACTCATCCCCTTGTGTTTCCACAATAGAGGGGAGCCTGGGTTTCTGAAAAACAGCATGCAATGTGCAGCATTAATAACTGTACACTTTCTAATGTGCCTGATTATTTGGAATTTGGAAATACTGGAATAACAATTACATGTTACTTAAATACTTTGAAATACTGGGATCATGTTAAATTAAAAAAAAATAGTTACAGCTGATGATATTTTAATCACACTCCCGTTACAAATCTATTAGGCTCTACCCATGGCTGCCTGTGTACTTGTGAATTGGGTGAATTGGGTGTCATTAAGTGGCTTGATTAATAGACCAAACAAGCACTGTAAACTGTATTTTAATAATAAAAAAATAAGGTGTGGCATTCAGCATATAGTGAGACAAGTAGCTAATAAGGTTTCCCAGTAGGAGAGCTACTGACCAAGTTAGCAAGCTAACTCCAGCTACTGAGTCCTTGCACAAACTGTCCTACAGTACTCAGTAGTAATTTAGCATGTACCAGAAACATGGCACATTTACCTTGAAAACCCAGACATATGTCCACTAAAAGCCAGGAAATGATATACAACAACTGGTGTTGGTCCTGGTCCTGCCTACTATAATATACTTTAAAAACAAGCTTTGGAAATGTATTATCACTTACAAGCAGGGACGTGCACAGACATTGTGGTGGGCAGGGGCTCAAGTGAAAAAAAAGGGCATTTCTTTAAATAAGACAAATATATTAACTCAACAACATTTTTACTTTTCTACAAAAAAATCAGTTCACACAGAGACCATGGTCTTCTTTAGTATTCACTATATCACAGGAGCAGGCAACAGCAAAGCAAACTATGCCACAATGTGCATGTTTTCTATGCTACTGGTTTCAAGTATATATTTATGGCACAGTTTCATTAATAATTTGTTTATTTTTCACAAGGCAATAAATTGTTTCAATTCTTTTGGTGTTATTGGAATACATAACACTTCACATAAATCTTCACACTAAACTGTGGCATTGGGCTGCAGGAATAATTAAAATAAATGTTATTTAAATACTTTTACTTTTTGTTTCACAAGCAAGATGCCAAATGAGCAAAGATAACCTTCAGCTTCACACAGCCAAGCAACAGAATACTGAATTGCCTGAATACATTAATGTCGGGGATAGGCCGGCTTACACAGCTCTGAATGTTGGACACTGCACTTAACAAACATGTGAAATGTGGAAAAGACCTGACAATGTGTGATTGAGGTGCCAGTTACTTATTTAGAAATATTGAATCTGTTAGTACTTATTTCGGAACATTGAAACTTCGACACGCCAACGGCGTTTGATGAAACCTCTAAAGCTTTTCAATTTACCGTCACAGAGGTCTTTAAATTTAATTCCCAAATTTGAAGTCGATCAGAATAATTATCAAGGAGTAGTTCATACAGAGCATGTAAATGGAAAAAAATGTAATTTTCAATTCAAAGTGACTGGCATCAGGTTGGGTTTAGTGTTTTTACTGTATACAACACACGTTTGTAAGATACTGGATGAAGGTTTGTGGGCTGGTAGGCTCCGATTTCAGCAGTGTTGAGTTTGGAATTAGGGGAAAAAGTTTAAATAGATGACACAGGTTTAAAATTGTGAGAAAAGGAAGCCTACTTTTAATCATGTTTTCTGTGTGAGTGTATATTTAGTACCTCATCCTGGCTGTCCTCACGCAGGTTGTAGGTGAGGTTGTCTTGGATGTGTGAGGCAAACACACTGGCATACTCGGGGTAGAGAACCAGCACATCTTTCAGGTCACGCACACTGATATACTGAATGTGACAGTATGTCAGCGCCTTCACATCAGCATTGGTCTTGATGACCTGGTCTGTTTCAGGAAGGTCAGATCCAATCAGGTTCCCTGCTTCTAAAATCAGAACACTACATATTCACTTTTTTGCTCCACTTTACACTACACTTTGTGCCAAAAAAAAAAGTCACTTGACCACAAGACAAACCTAATCTTTCCAGCACCATCGTATCTTTCAGCACTTCCAGAGACCCAGAGCAGACATAGTAGATGGCTCGCAGCACGTCGTCCTGACAGATGAGGTACTCCCCGGGGACACAGAAGGAGTTTTTTATGTGGAGGGAGATTGAGCGCAGACAACCACGACTGGCCCCCCTAAAAACCTGCAGCTGGATGATGTCCTGATTCCGCTGCATAGCGATGTCAGCCCGCAGCTCAAAAGGGAAGTCATGCAGGAGCTGGGGATGTGTGACAGATGTAATGAGGTGTGACGCTGATTGATAATTAGGGAATAAACTGTGTAGCCACAAGTTACCCTTTTTTGAATGCCATGTATTGTGAAAGATCATTACAGTTACAGCTACATAGGGTTGTCAGTGGAATGCAGAACAGCTTTCAGTGCTCAAATGCCTTCCAAACATTACCCTGAAATGTCTTTAGGACAGACAGTACAATGTACAAAGTATTACATGTCAACAACAATGAAAGGGATACCTACCTTGTTGACATCTATACCATTATTGACCGACCATGTAGTCTCGAAGTACTCCATAATGCGTTGTTTTAACTGGTGGGGCAGATGGTGGATACGCATAAAGTCCTTTAGTTCCTTCATGCGTGTGTGGTAGAGAGAATGTCGTGAGTACGTACGCTGGATGATGGCCGAAATGTTACCGAACACCAGGGCGTACATCAGCACTGTGTGGGAGACGGAAACAAATAGTAAGTAAATGTTGATATTACTTCTGAATATTTGTATTTCTAGAAAAAAATATATTCTTTTACATTCTGAATGCTGTTTTTTTTTGGCTATTACAATTTGAATGGATTAAATAGCAACAATAGAAAAATTTACTTTTTAAGGTGACTTTTATTTTTCACTTCTTTTGCTGCTATAAAATAAAAGTATATCGTTACCCAATAATCTACATTTGTCACTGTTAATTTACTTCCTCTGACAAGCAGTCTAAATAAAAAATAAACTCTGCCACCTCAGCTAAAATAATTTGTTTATATTTATATAAAGATGGCAACTAACTTAAAGGCCAGCCTAACCATCCAACCCTGTCAGACGTACCACTGACAAGCATGGTGCAGATGGAGAAGATCATTTCAGCATCGGTGTTGGCAGAGACATTGCCAAAGCCCACAGTGGTCAGGCTGCTCAGGGCAAAGTAAAGGGCGGTGATGTAGGCATTGTACGCCGTCGGGCCACCCACCGTGCTGTTGGTGTAGGGAGTCTCCATACGTTTGCCCAGCTCACTGAGCCACCCTTGAAGGAGGTAGAGGATGAGACAATAATGTTCAAAGACTATGGTTCATATTATCTTTATGTTTGTGTGGCACAAGTCAGCTCAGAGCTACAGTTAATAGTAAATGGTTTACCTGGTCTAAGAGAGACAAAAGTACATGTGTGTGACACAAACAAAACATTAGTGTGTCATTTTTATATCAGCTTTTCATCTTGTTTGAGTTGTCATTAGAGTGCCAGAGTATGGTGGCTGTCACGAGTGAGCAGAGCGAGACATCCCAATGGGTGAGCCATGTGTATTTATAGCTGATTGGGGACCCAACAAATGTCTACTCACTGTATTGGCAAAGTCAACTCTATTATTCTCTCTTATTTGTTGGATTTTTCACCAATGGGTAACTGAATCAAGTCTGGATAGTCAGCACTGTGCTTTTAATAAAATATTGCATTTATTTCCTGTCAGAAGGCACAATGAAGACAATTTATAAATACTTGCACATGGTAAAAATCTGTTTGAACTATTACTTTTAAGGAAATATTAATCCCCCCTTGCTGAACGAAACACCAAACCTGACATTCATACTTCAACAGCTTTAATAAGACTTACCAATGTGCCAGGTCTTACTGTCCTCCATCTCCTTGTGTCCAATCGTGTACCAGATGCAGGCCATCCAGTGTGCCAGCAGGGCAAACATAGACATTAGCAAGGTCAGCACCATGGCGCTGTACTTAGAGTAGCGATCCACTTTCTGAAGCAGACGAAGGAGACGCAGCAGGCGTACTGTCTTGAGCAGGTGGGTGAAGGAGGTCTGAAAAGGAGGGGCAAGTATGGGGGGAATTGAAAAGAAAAAAGAAAGAAGAATAAAGTGAATCCCTTTGCCATGTTATATCTTACAACACACTTTGACTGTATACATACAGATATGTTTTGTTCAAACAAATTTGCTTATCACTATTTTAGAAGTACTCATCACACAGGCAGGCAGGCAGTAGCAGCCTTGTGCAATGTAAGGTACTGTATTCCCAAAGGCAATACATTGGGAAATTGCTGCTTGTGTCAGAAACCGCGGAGGGCAGTGAAAAAAAGACGGCTGAAGATATTGTTGTCCAGTTGTACTCACCATTGGGATGTGGGCGGCATACAGCAGATCAATGGGCAGGGAAGCAGCCAGGTCCACTAAGAACCAGGTGGTGGCGTAGTGTTTGCTAATGGAGCGCGAGTCATACACCACCTTCCCTGACTGGTTGATATAGGTGGTGCGGAAGCTCAGGATAATGTCTGCAAATACAGAGGTTGAAGGTAAGTTCCCTACCCCAGTGAGTGAAAGACATCCAGTTGGTGAAGTTTTTGAATTAAAAGGTATCGCTGAAGAGTGTTGAAAGCAGAGCTAAAATCAGTGAAAAGCAGCTCAGCATAAGCTCTTTCAAGGTCATTTTAAGTACATAATGGCAATAATGGCATGATCCATACTCCAGCAAGTAGGAGCAACTGGTTTTAGTTGAATAGGTTTTCTTAGACAGGAATAATTACAGAACTTTGGCAAAGAACAGAACACTTTACTGGATCATTTTGAGGTTAAGCCACCTCAATTCATCCCTTAGGTGCTTCCCTTTGGAGGTTAACCTGGCATTATCGACCAGGAGGAGTCCCTGGGAGAAACTCAGACATCCTGAAGGTTCTATAAAACCAGGGCTGCCTGTAACTTGGAGGACTTCATGTCTCAGTTTCTCTCGTTGAAAATCTCATGTCACCACATGACAACACAAAAAACTTAACCACAATGTTATTTTGATTCAGATTTTGAGAGCTGATTTGACTCACTTTAGTACTTTAGTAGATAGAATTGGCTTGATGATGGTCCTACCTAGTAGTTAGTGAAAAACTTCTTTCAACACTCACCGATAATAAAGAGAAATTCCACGACAACATCAGTAGCGACAGTGGAGTGTGTTTCTACGGCGGTTTCATCGTATATAGTGAAGCTGATGTTGTAGGGCACGATGACAGCCACGTAGAAAGTGGCTATAAGGATTAACCAGTCCCACAGGACTTTGGACATACTGTAGTGGAGCAGGATGAAGCGGGACTTCTGCACTACTTCCACCTCTGTTATCAAAGGCTTTTCAATTATGCTCTGAAAGAGAACAGGTATAGTAAGTGCAACAATATATTGGTAAAAACATATACACAGTCATCTATGTTTTATACACACACACACACCAATGTTCTTGACTTTCAACCTTACAATTAAAATATACAAAAGCAAACAAAGCACATTAGAGAAGCTGTAGAAATTAATAACTTGACAACCAGATGATCACGAGGTGGAGTGTTGTGAAAATGAATGATGCCGTGGCAGTGCCAGGATTTTGCAGAACCAGATAATATAAATTTCTTTTGCTCTAGTGTACAGATATGGTAATGCTGCTATTTATATCCTTGACAGCTTCCTATTGACACTGATAAACCTTTTAAATGGCCCTGCATTAACAATACAAAAATGACATAGACAGGACTACGGTCAGTGAGGTTTAAACTTATTACCAACATTGACACCTGATAATTTCATCTTGGCTTGACTTCATCCCTCCAAATGCCATGCAATTTGAAAGTTGTGAGAGGGAAAGGGGAGACAAATGAGCTGGAATCCAATGAGGTGTCCAGTATCCAGTAACATTGTGGCCACTTCATTAACATGCAACAAGAAGTCTGGTTAATGAAGTCTTAACCTGAAAAGGGCTCTGAAGATGCCTAGTTGAGGGTATTGACTATTTGAAACTAATTCTTGTAGTAACAAAAATAAGAGAAATGCCAGAGAATAACAAAGTAGAGAATCATGCTCAAATTATTCCCAGTGAAATAAAATTCAAAACTGTATTGATCATGGCTGCTTGACATAGAACAATGGCTTTCATGATGTTTGTAACCACTGTGGAAAATCCAGAAGAAAGACCTTGCTGACTGCCTTCAACAACTGTTGCCACTTTAATGATAGTTCAAGCTATGTCAGCAAAAGATGGACTTTTATTTCATTTGCCTTCCATCACAGAGGTCAGGACACCCATCTGACCACTGGCACTCGAGGCAGTCAGCAAGCACATCCAAATGATTAGAAAAGAAAAGCCCAGCACTGCATGGACAAATATTTCACTGCATGTCACACAGCCACAGCTGGTCTTTGCACTTCACTAACTCACACTGCAGCCCAGAGCTTACTGTCTCAACTACATCTCCCAGCCTGCTTTGGTCTTGAGCAATGAATAAAGTCTGTCCTTTTAGGCTATTGCAGAGGTTCCCTAGACTTTTATGTATACCCCAAAATACTACTTAATGTTTTTCCAAGTGATTAACGTTAGCCTATTCTTCATAGTGGCTAACTGGCCTGAAGAAATGCTGTTGCTATGGTTACCTACAATTAAATATAAAGTTGTCTAAAACTGTTCCAATTGTTTTTGAATATTAGTGATTTTTAATATGTAAATCTGCTATAAACCTGTATTTTTCTCTTTCAACTTATTTTCTTCCCAGATATGATTGTACATTATATCTCTATTGTTTGACACTGTTGTGACCATTAATTTAATATGTAAATGAACAGATAAACTGCTCTTTAATGCTGTAGCTGGCTATGGTAAATCAAAGTGAAACTTTATGTAGGCCTAATGGTGGGTCATTTTAGCAAATAATCTTTTATATCCTGCTTGATAAATTATTTTATATGTAAAACTCCCACAAGGCAGGTCCCCGGTGGAGTGTCTGTCTGGAGTGGCATTTGCTCTGAGTTCATTAACTAGCAACTTAATCAGCTAACTTATTTCGCAGGCTGTTGCTATAGTTATCTACAATTAAATGTAAAGTCTGCATTTAAAACGTGTTTCTGAATGTATACAAGTTGTTTTTAAAAATATATATTTTAGGCCTAAATCTGCTATTCTGCTTTACCCCTGTCTATTTCTCTCATCTTCTTTTTCTTCCCAGATATGATTGTACATTTCATCTCTATTGTTTAACACTGTTGTGACTATATTTAATTTGGAAATAAACATAGGCTAAACAACACTTTAATGCTGTAGCTGGTCGAGGTGAATCCATTGGAGCTTTATATACTCTTGGGTCAGATAGACTAAATTAATCTTTAGCAATGCATCATATTTTATAACCTGCTTGATAAACTGACTGTTTTATATGTAAAACTCCCACGTCTGTGTCTGTCTGGAGTGGCGTTTGCTCTGAATTAATAACAAGCATCTTATTTAGCTAACTTATTTCACAGGATAACTCTGAAAGTACAGTATTATATCCTTTAACTTACCTGAAGCCAAACTGTCCAATGGGCAGCCATTTGTTCCTTTTTCTTTAACGTTACTTTTATAGTAAGTTTAATTAGCTAGATTATTTTTACAACCTAGAAAGAACTGTCCTGAAGTGCAAGTGCTGTTGCTATGGTTATCTACAATTAAATATAAAGTCTGCATTTAAAATGTGGTCAAACTGTCTCTGAATGTATACGTCATTTTTTTAAAAACATGTTAGGCCTAAATCTGCTATTCTGCTTTACCCCTGTCTATTTCTCTCATCTTCTTTTCTCCCCAGATATGATTGTACATTTCATCTCATCTCACAACACTGTTGTGACTATATTTAATTTGGAAATTAAAATATAAACAGCAATTTAATGCTGTAGCTGGTCAAGGTGAATCCAGTTGGAACTTTATATACTCTTGGGTCAGATAGACTAAATAGAAGCAATGCATCATATTTTATAACCTGCTTGATAAACTGACTCCCACATCCCTAGTGGATGTGTCTGACTAGAGTGGCGTTTGCCCTGAGTTAATTAACTAGCAATATAATCAGCTAACCAATATCACAGAATAACTCTGAAAGTACAATGTTATTTTGTTTTAACTTACCTGAAGCCAAACTGTCCACCGGGCAGCCATTTGTTCAATTTTCTTTTCTTTTATAGTAAGTTTAATGTAGAGTTATTGTAAAGCTAGATTATTTTTTAGAAAGAACTGGTGCAAGTGCTGTTGCTATGGTTATCTACAATTAAATATAAAGTCTGCATTTAAAACATGGTCAAACTGTTACTGAATGTAAACAATAATTTAAAATATATAACTATATGTTAGGCCTAAACTGCTATTCTGCTTTACCTCTGCCTATTTGTGTCTTATCTTTTCTTCCCAGATATGATTGTACATTTCATCTCTATTAGTTTAACACTGTTGTGACTATATTTAATTTGGAAATAAACAACACTTTAATGCTGTAGCTGATTGCTCTGAATTAATTAACAAGCATCTTAATTAGCTAACTTATTTCACAGGATAACTCTGAAAGTACAGTATTATATCCTTTAACTTACCTGAAGCCAAACTGTCCTACGGGCAGCCATTTGTTCCTTTTTCTTTTCTTTTATAGTGAATTTAATGTAGAGTTATTGTAAAGCTATATCATTTTTACAACCACAACCTAGAAAGAACTGTCCTGAAGTGCAAGTGCTATTGCTATGGTTATCTACAATTAAATATAAAGTCCGCATTTAAAACGTGGTCAGGGTTGGGGAGTAACGGATTAGGCTTCATGTAAGGGCGTTTCCTAATCAAGATACAAAATAAAGTAACTGTATTCCGTTACAGTACATTTTGTAAAAATGGGGATTACTTTTAATCAGATTACTTTAACCACAAAGTTTCTATTAAACAGAAAAACTGAAAAACTGTAAAAACCACAGCTAGTGAGGGATCTGAGGAATAAAAAGAAACATTAAAATATATTCCAATTGAAATCTGGCTGAAAATTTTCCTATTTGTACTAGAACCAATAATTCTATATGGTAGTGAAATCTGGGGGCCAAAACTTAATAACGAATTTGACAAATGGGACAAAACAATCATAGAATCTTTCCATACAGAGTTCTGTAAGAGCATCCTGCAGGTGCAGAGAAAAACACCAAATAACCTGTGCAGAGCAGAGCTAGGCCAATACCCCTTCCTACTAAAAATACAGAAAAGATCACTTCAATTTTACAATCACTTAAACTCAGTTAACCCCCAGACATATCATCACAAAGCCCTAACATACCAGGAGCTGAAACCAGAGAAGAGTCCCCTCAGCCAGCTGGTCCTGAGGCTCTCTGCAGTAAGTCCCCAACAGCCTCAGGACAGCAACACCAGACCAAACCAAATTATCAGCAAGCAGAAAGAAAAATATATTGAATACTGGAAAGAAACAACCAAAACACAAAGTAAATTACAATGTTATCTGACCCTAAAAAGAGAATTCACACTGGCAAATTAACTGAGTACAATAAAATGTCCCAAATTAAGAAAAATGTTGACAATATACAGACTGACTGAACACAGCCTGGCCATAGAAAAGGGTCGCCACAGACAGAGCTGGCTACCACAAGAGGAGAGACTCTGCTCCCAGTGTGACAGGGGACAGGTAGAGACAGAGCTGCACTTTCTAACCTCATGCTCTAAATATAAAACACAATTTTGATCATTTGATATTTTAGTAATTGTTTTGTTTCTACATTTGATACTGATTTCTTTTTTCTTTTTATTTTTTTAATCAATTAATTCTTTTTTTATATATATATTTTTTTTGTCTATTAATATATACACACACGTTACTGTTTCATTTATTTGTTTTATTTTATTTTTTTATTTTTTAACACACATACACACACACACGCTTACTGTTTTATTTATTTTATTTTTAATATATTTTTATTTTTAACACACACAAACACACAAACACGCTCACTGTTTTATTTATTTATTTTATTAAAATTTCTTTTTTTCCCTTTTTTTTACACAGACACACATATGCTTTGATTACTTTACGCTTTAATTACTTGTTTACTGAAATGTATGGGATGATTGTTCTTATGTTGGATATATGATGCTTTGGCAATGTTGTTATTACATTCATGCCAATAAAGCTAATTTGAATTGAATTGAATTGATCTGTGGTGATCAGTGTAGTGGTTGAATGTTGTGGTTACGCCCTCACCCCGTCATGCAGACTTTGTGCTGACTGATGCCAGCTCAGCTCAGTGAGTGAACACACGGCAGCCGGACCCGGGCACAGACCATGGACTGGATATAAAAAGGCACAGACAGAGAGGCCAGTCTGACCACCGGGAACACAGTACGAAGGTGTTTTTCTTGCCGGTTTGGCTCTTTTCATCCTGGTAGCTAGTTAGCTGACTTTCAACAGCAACAAGTAAGTTAAAGCCATGTGTCCATCAGGAATCTCCTTAAATCACAGAGTTGAGGCAGAACAGCCGGGAGACATCAGAGAGAAAGCCAGATAATATTTTCCATCAAATATGATCCAGTTTCAGCAAAATCAGTGAATAAAGTTGTGCTTTCCTACAGTATTCAGCGGTGCCACTCCCATAAACACTATTTTTCAGCAGCATCATAAAAACAAAGAAAAAACCCCACTGACTATTAATTTAATTTAGAAATAAACAGATAACCAACACGTTAATGCTGTGGCTGGTTGATGTGAATTCAATTGGAACTTTGTTGGGTCATTTAATCTTCAGCAAGTCTATTTCTCTTTTGATACAGTCGTTTTTCCATGCTTTCCATGTAGTGATGTACTAGTTGCCAGAAGTCATGGAGAAATGTGTTTTTATAGCACCTCAAGTATCAGTTTATGAAATTAGTCCTAGTAGTATGTAGCAGAAGGGAGTTACAAAACACAATTTCACTCTATAACTTGTTATTTTGTGACAATAAACCTACCTACCTGTCCACCTACCTAGTTGTCCTGAACTCAAATGTGTGAGTTGTTGTCAGGATTGATACTTTTCAAGCACCCCAAAATCAAAGAATAAAATATTTCATATTTATTTCTAACAACTTTTAAGAGACACATGTAACATGTTTGATACCCTCTGTGAATATAATCCAGTTAATCTTATTCCCACACATTCTATATGGTGGCTTTTCATAAGAAAGTCTGACACAATTTGATCAATATTGTATGCGGTGCTTTTAAGATTTCATAGCTGCTATTTAAGACTTTCATACTGTAACACTTGTCTTTGGTGTAGTAGTTTAAATGATGTAAGGCCCAAAAACAAGCGTGAGTGAGGGTATGGTTGTGCATACTAGTGTATAGTCATTTTTTGTGTGGGAGAATGGTTTAGGACCTAATCAGAGTTACAGACCATTCATACACATACTATTTACCTCCACCACGCCCGGAAGAGAACGAGAGAGGGGAATAGAGAGCAGCAGAGAAACAGAGACAGAGACAGATGTGATTAAAAGAGGAGTGAAAGAGGAAGGCAGATGATCAAAGAAAGAAAAGGGGAGGAGGAAAGAACAGATGCACATCTGTATACACACAAAAATGCACACAGTACAACTTTGGCAAGCACACATTTCATCAGAAAACATACCTAGTTGCATTTTATTATATCTCTTCAAAATAAATAAACATACAATATAACACAATGAAATAAGACTCATAACATCTCTGAAAGCCTGTAACAGAATAACCTCAAAATAGTGCCTGTTTTTTAGTAAACATAACTTGTACATAACGTACAAAAAATACTACTCAAAAGTGTACAAAATGCAGCAAACAAATATCAAGTATTGTGCAGTTTCCCTCCACGTTATACCAGCTGTTGACAGTCAGTCATTACAGGGAAATTACTAGTGTTGAGTGCCAGAAGCTACATTAAAATCGTATGTCTCACCAGAATCCAGTGAGCAGTTAATGAGCAGCTAACAGCTCAGTGGCATAGCTCAGTTCATTTTGGTTCAGCAATACGAGCCATTCAGGGATCTCAGATGGCTCACATATGTGGTGGAATGTAAGTATGAAGTTAATACAATTTAATGCACTACTGAAACGGTATAATGCACTGAGTCTCAAAAGCGCTTCCTTTTTGGAACAAATACTAGTAGAATTTCCCCTACTGTAAAAACATTACACTTCCTCTGTAACAGCAGCACGCAGCTCCCAAACTAAAAAAGAAAAAAAAAGTTTTGTTGCTTTGCTCTATTGTTCTGTTGCATGACAGACATTTTAAAGCATAATCAACAGTGAGAGAACACATTCAGAGCAGGATGCACGTACAGTGCATTCAGCTCTCCCCTTCCACTAACACTCACACTTCCTCAAACGCACTAAATAGAAAACAAGACTGGACGTTACCACTCACTAAAATCCATTCCATACTTACATAAAAATGTATGTTCAAAGCTCCCTCTCTTCATGAAAGCACTGACCAGTAATAAATAGTTACTGGTGAATAATAGGGGCTCTGTATGTGGAGCCTGGATTAATCACAGCAGTAGGGTGTTTTTTTTGCCAAGCTGAAATAGCTTTAAATTTAAAAGACATAATCAAGTGAATGTTCACCTTTGCATGTCTGTAGTTGCACTTGGTATCAGCAGTATGCTTGTTAATGAAAGTAGATTCAGTAGTATTCAACTCGAGGGTCCATCTCCTCTTCATTGCTACATAAGAATCAGTCAATCATCAATAGTGCCTAACTCAAGTAGGACGTACCCACAAATTTGAACATGTGACATGCAGAATAAAAAGCTAACGAGACGAAATGAAAACATGAAATGTTAGAGCATTCAGTTGGCAGGTGTTTCATAGTCACACACTGCCACCGTCTGACATCTAAAGATATATACCCCTTTGGGACATGTCAGTTACATGACCACATGTCAATCATCTCAAAGATTATTGGGTCCTGCCCAACAGTAGTAGATAGAACAGAAACTATAACAAGTGTTTTCTTTCCCTCTTCTGCCTTCTCACTTTCTCCGCGCACTGCCCGGTCTCTTGACCTGCCAGAGGTGATTGTGGATGGTCAGGGCATCTACGCTGACCGACACAGACTTGGCGGGGATGACGGTGAACTGCTTTCTGTCCGAGCTGTATTTGTAGAGCTTGTCGATCATCTTGCGGGTGATAGCACGCGGCCCTGTGCCTGTGAACTTGATGATCTCCTCGGTGTCGGGTGAGTACGAGTAAATAGCGCGGAACTGGCACCCACCGTCACGGAAGAGGATAATCAAGTGATTCGACTCGCACTTTTCCAGCTCCTGTGGTCAGTAAAAGAGACACAAAACATCTTTTCTGAATATAGCAAAACATGAGCGAAAAATGTAACTGTGAAAGTAATAAGTAAAATAAAAAACAACTTACTTTGCCATGAAAGTAACGCAGAGTTCACTGATGATAACTATGTAAGCATAGCTTCTACATATTCACAGTAAATCCACCATCAATACATTTATTTCAAGTGATCACACTAACCTCCAGAATAGCATTCTTCTGGCCCTCATTAACCCTTCCAGCCAGACAGCAGTGAGCGATGGCATTGATGATGATTGGCTTGTTGGACTTGGAGCTTGGCTCCTTGAAGAGTTTAGGTCCTTTAACAAACAAAAAAAATTACAAAAAGATTAATAAGATAAATGCATAAAAGTCTGTAAGCTATAGGATATTCAATCATTTTCTGCATTTCTGCTCACCATTGTACTCCACTGAAGTGATGGAAGAGGCTATAGAGCCGTTCTCCCAGTCCCTCTCCATGTTCCTGCTGGACGCCCTGCTCAGCATGGGGAACGACTCCATTGAGCACACAGATCCAGCTCTGGAAGCCACACATATATGTCAGTAAAATGACAATACCGATGCACAAGGTGGAAGAGAGATCATGTCCTCTGCACTTACACGAAACACAGGAAGTCTCACCTCTGTGACTCTGCCCCTCCAGAGATGACGCTGTCTGCCTCGGTCGCCAAAGAGAGTCGATCCTCTGTACTGCAGATCAGGTCAGCTGAAAGTGACAGACAGAAGGATTTAGTCCCAGTCACTTTACTAAACAAAATACATTGTTGTTTTCTGATCCCCAC